GTTGGAAAGGACTTGTTAATGGATTTGAGTTTATGGTAGGTGACTTTGTGGCAGTCTCAAGCAAGTGGGGCTTTGCCCTGGATTGGATACTTCCAGGAAGCAGACGTAGTTCTATGACTGAGTATCTTATCTAGAAGGAGAGAAAAGCTGTGGTTGGTAATATAGCAGCTGTCACTCACAGTAGTCAAGATGGAGGATGTTTGGCCATTTGTGTGGTTTGGATAGTGTTCACGTTTTTGTCTGTGGTCAGGAATGAGTACGCAGTGGTCTTGTTTTTGGCTTAATTCACCCCAATTACAGAGTGGTTTATGTGATGATGTTCTATGAAATTGTTTGTGTTACTTTGGAGAACACCAAGACCCAGCTACAAGTGCCACGGCAGTTTCTGGCTGTCAGCGGCTGCTTTCCACTTTCTCAGCATCAAGAACTGCATTTGCCAAATCTTGTCACGTGACCAACACCAGTTGAAACTTCCTTTTGTCACTTAAAAAAATTTTTTTTTCAGGAAATGGTAGAAAAAAACCTATCATGGTTGCTGATGACATAATCAACGCTACTGCAGACTTTGCATGGAAACATTCCACCCCGTCATTAAAAACCGTTAAAGTTGTCATCTTTTCATTTGAGCTACTAAAGGTATTCCATGACAGCATGAGAAAAAGAGAAATCTCCACGTCACCTACTGTTCTGTCCATAGTCTCCAAGGCTGCATGTAAGATGTTCATCTTTAAAACATCACATGGTTATCTCTAATATCACTTAGAAAATGTTTAGCTGTGAATGCTCACCGTTTCTATCAGTTTCAGAACTTGACAGACAACCTCCTATGATATGTGGGAAAAGTACAAGAAGTGTGGGACACAATCTCCTGTCAATTGGTTCTTCTGAGGGGCAAATCATGCCTTGGAAACAGGAATGGCAAGTGAACAGGAAGAGAATAGAGATGAGGGAGCAGAAAAAGGGGAACAGGCTTTGAAAATCCTAGCCAGTCATCTCATTATTTACTTATTGAGTGATATGGACTCTCAGTGGCATTGTTGCTTTGAACTAGCTGACCAGTACTGGTTCTTGATCATCCACCTCTAGACAAGTTAGCCTGGAAGTGGATGCAGAGCAAGAAGGGAGTGGCCAGAGTCCTCTGGTTGTAGCACATCAGGGGCAGGCAGAGTCCCAGGTGTGATTCTGTAAGGTGTGTGTAGATGCATTATCTTTAAGTGTCTGTGTGAATCTGCTCCTCTGACCTAGCTTTCCCCCAATTTGTGGCTTCTGTCCTGCTGTTTAACTAGAAATGCAGCCTCCTCTGGCAATCACTGTTTTTGCCCATTTTGAGCGCTCACCCATGAAGCACTGTTTTACTAGTGATGAGGCACACCAGTCATCAGCAGCCTCCCAAAACTGAAAACTGTTGCCTCCTGCTGCCAGCGGGAATTTCAGTCCTCTCTGAACTTATTTCATGACCACCATTCTCCTCAGAGTAATACAGCAAATGTAAGAGCTATACACACACACACACACACACATCAAATAAATAAAAATGAAAATGATAGTTGGATCTGTTAAGGCTATTGCAGTAGCAAGTAATAGAAAATCCAACTTGAACTGGCTTAAGCAATAACGGAATTAATTGACTCATATGACTATAAAGTCCAGGCATACTGCCTGTAGGTGCAGTTTGATCCCGGTGATCATATGATATTATCTAGACCCTGACTTTCTTCATCTCTCACTCTCTTCTCAGCTGTGCTGTCTTTATCCTCAGGCTTCACGTGGTGAAAGAAGGCTACTAGCAGCTTCAGGCCCATATCTTTGCATGGTCAGGTCAAATAGGACAGATGGTATCCAGTGGAGATATATACTTATCATCGGCCTCATATAAGGCCTGAGATTCCTTCTAACTGGACCAGCTTAGGTCATCATTGCAGCCAGGGAACTAGAATTACACTCACTGGCCAAGCCAGAGTGACATGCTACACATTTGAGCTAGCAGGCATCAATATCTGAAGCAAGGGGGAATGGTTGTTCCCCAGAAGAAATTCAGGATGCTTGCATCAGGAAGAGGGGAAAAGGCTGGTGGGCAGTTAAAAATAATAAATACCTACTATAGTATCTAGGGATATGTAAACATTGTTTTCCCTTTGGTCTTTGTAGAAGAAAATTTTTATTTAAATATAAGAGCAATAAGTCATTATCAGTAAAGTAAAAATTAACTAGTTCATCCACTCTGCATTCATCAAGAATTTAAATGGACTAATGAAATTAAAAAAATAAAACAGGAAAGTGAAAGAGAGAGAAGCAAACAAAAAGATGACTAAAATGAGCAGAGAAGTGACCATATGGCACTTGAGGCAAAAACAACAAAAGTGCCTTACATGATCCTTGCTGGTAGATAAAAGGAATAATACAGATAAAATGTCAGGTAAAAGGAAGTTTGTTGGCAGAGATAAGCTGAATTTTAGTAATAATTTATCTTATGTACTTCTTTAGAAGAGAACTTAAAGAGGATAGCTTTAAGCTTCATTGAACAGATGATACACAATTACTTTTCCAATGTATGTTAAAGCTATTTATTGATTCAGAGAGCATTTATTGAGCAGCAACTGTATATCAGACACTAGAGATATAGATTCGGAGTCATGTAAGTAGGTAGGAGTTGAAGCCAGTGAGTGTGAATTGGATCATCCTCGGAGAGTATGAAGGGTGAAGAGAGTGAAGACTGAGGCAGAGCCAGGATTCTTGGTGTTTAATCTCACCTCAACGCATGGAGAGGAGACTGAGGCAGGGCGCACAGGGGGAGGTACAGGAGGGCATTTATCCTGAACGCCAGGAATGGAAAAGTATAGTGACATTTATCTTTTAAAAGAGATTTACAGAAAAAGGGCTCAGGAAAGTGCCTGGCACATGGTAATCACTTACAGAAAGGTAGCTATTGTGTTATTTTCTGTGGAGCACTGGGGTGAAAGTCAATAGAACAAGATTCTCTTCCTTCCTTTGTTGCCTGCCTTCCTTGTAACGTAGGATGCATGAGTACTCAGCTTTCCTGGGACTCGATTTTCTCCTCTCTGAGTTATCTAGCCAGAGTCATCTCTTGTCCACGAGGCAGAGTAGGTAGCACAGTTTGGTGTGGCTTAAGGGTGTGATTTAAAAGTCTTTCCTCTCAATAAAATACCCTTGGCTTTACACTTTACTCCCTTTTTAAGTACAGATACCTCTGGAATCTAGAAAAGATCAAGCTTAATCATTTTCTAAGAATGATAACCACACATTTATGAAGGACTTGGCATTCTCTAAAGTGCTTCCATGTCCCTTATTATATTTTCAATTTGTAACAATCCCATGAAGTGGTAAAGAGAGCAGGTCTTATCATTTCCGTCATATAGAGGAGAACATGAAGACTCACTTGGAAGTGGTGTCACTTGTTCGATGCCACATGGCTGGTCACAGGTTGAAGCAGATCAGGTCTTCTGATTCCAAGTCCTGGTAGTTTCTGCTCTGCAACTTCACGGCATGAAAGGAAGAGGGGGCCCGAAGAAATGCTTCACTGCCTTACTTTCCAGTCTTGCCTGCTGTATTCACAGAAAAGAATGTAGCAGGTCCAAGAGAACTCTAAGGCCTAGGACTAGAAATGATTAGGCCAAAAGATCTGAAAGGAGTGGGCAGTGGGGAAAAGAAAGAACTTAATTTACAGAAACTACACACTGTATTGGTGGGAAACTTCTCCAGAAAAACTCTTTTAAAATGGAATTTGAAAAAGGCTTCCAGATTAGGGTTAGATGCTTCCCTTGTCCACCAGGACTTCATTCCTTGATGGACCTGATAAACAGAAAGGGAGTGCCCTGGATCCCTCTCCCTGGCCTGGTGTATCTTTCACTAACAATGAGTAAATTGTGGCTTTGTTTGTAGGGAGAAATCCTTTGGTTTATACCTGTGGTGTTGTGCCATTTTGTGGCATTTTCTTCTCTAATGCAATCTACCCATACTTCTGCTAGTCATGCCATCTCAACAAGTTGATGTGTAGCCTCAATGTGTTAGAAGTTTCTGGAAGCCATTGGAAAGCAAGGGAGATCTTTGAGCTTTATCACTTTATATGAAACCATTCACTTACCACTTCCACTATTTTCTTTACATAGTGTTTACTTAGTGTAGAAGATGGGGTACAGAACAACATGCTTTAAATATCTTTAGCAGGATCATCATGTTTCAAAGGAAAAATAATAAAGAACCACACTAAATAAAACTGATAAAGTTGAAAACATCAATAAATTGGCCTTCATGTTTACATATCAGTTTCTTATGATATTAATTCCATTGAATTTTCTGGGAAAATTATAATTTCAAGCTAGAGTGAATCTAAGTTTATCTAAAAATTTTAGCTAAACCATTATGTAACATATATCATATTAGTGTCAGAACCATTCACTTCATCTGTGGTACCAAGTTGAGGATAATAAAAGAAGCAACTAAGAAATGTGTAGCTTTTCTTTTTGTTTTCAAAGACCAGGATTAGATGAATGAGAAACAAGAGCGTAGGAAGTGCCCTGATTTACAGACATCTCTTGAAATGAATGTCATGTTTTCACCAAATGCTGACTTTCTAGATGATATTCCTGTGCACTGGACTGACATGAATCAGCAGCGGTTCTGTATGATCCAGCTACAACCTGGAGAGTCAGAATATGACACTGTGAAGGACAAGTTCTCTCAGACTTGTTCTTCCTACAAAATAGAGAAGGTAATATTATATTAAAGAATTACTTCTTTTAAATATTGAAGAACAAACATGAAAGCCATCTTTTTTCATTACACTCTTCCTTCCTTTATACCTTACTATATTAATTTTAATTAGACTCGCTTAAGCTCCATAGACTTCAGATCTTATGATTCGTTCATTAGCAGTAATGAAGGATATTCCCAAATGTCACATGT